GCCATCGCCCTTCTAGTTTGGAGGCTATTGCTTCTAGTTTGGAGGCCATCGCCCTTCTAGTTTGGAGGCTATTGCTTCTAGTTTGGAGGCCATCGCCCTTCTAGTTTGGAGGCTATTGCTTCTAGTTTGGAGGCCATCGCCCTTCTAGCTTGGAGGCTATTGCTTCTAGTTTGGAGGCCATCGCCCTTCTAGTTTGGAAAAGTTGTGGCAACTGCCACCAGTGTCAACACGTGAGCCCTTCTTTTTGTCACGCTGGTGAAAGGTTGTCCTTGTCCTTGGCCCACTCTGATCCACCTTATGGATTGTGAGCTGAAAGGTTCCTGCCTGTACTTCCTGCACTTATACACCTCCTTGCTTTGCGCTGGAAGTACTCCGTTCCTCATCTTCTCGGCGACGTCCCTTGCTTGAACCGGAGTTTGTAGAAAGGACCTCTCCGCCTTAGGTGTGAAGAATCCGGACAACCCAATGTCTTCAAGGTGCCACAATTCCTACTCGCTTCTTTTCCTCACCCTTCAAGCCTTTCTTGAACTTCCCGATGAAGTTTCCCCTTCACTTCTTCTCTCTCCTCCGACGTCGTTCCTCCCTCTCTGACCCTGTCCATCCGGTACACCACCGATGACTTTTGTTGTTCGGATCGATTACTTCCTAATCAATTTTTCCTTTCCATTTCCTTTATCCTTCTGTCTCCAATATCTCTTGATCCCACTCAGTTGTGCATTCACCCTCCTTCTTGATGATTCCTTCTCCTTTCCATCACGTCTTGTTCTCAGCACCATTCCTGGCCCCAGCTTTCTTCCAGACGATACCATCGGCTTGTCTTCACCCGGTCATGCTTACTCGATAATCACTTCCACCTCCAGAGTTGTCCTCCCTGCCTTTCCTCCTGGGTGCCCTTGACCGAGACTCCGTCGGTGCGCTCTGCACGCGCCTTCCACCCTTCTTCGGCTGTGAGCATAGGGTGCCTCCATAACCCTCTCGATTTTGACATAGGACGGTTCCTTCTTCGAGGACGTGTTCGATGGTTCGCCTCCGAGTCCAGTCCTGTTAATCGCCTTCTGCTTCTCCATCTCGTCCCTCCTTCTGCATCAATCTCCTTTCTCTCTTCCGCGTCCTTCCCCCCTTTAGCTTGGGTTCGGCATTCGAACTGTTCCGACTTCTGTTCATTCCTCCTTTCTCTCCTCTTCTTCCCTTCATTTCCATCGGATTCTCTTCTCGCCTCCTCGATTCCCTTCCTTCTTAAGAGTGTTCCTTACCCTTCCAATCGCCGAGATCTGTCCCTCGAGCTCGATGCTCCCCCCTGCTTCGCTTGGGGTGTCAGTTTCCGTTCGCGTCCAAAACCCTTGTGTGCAGCTCGAACTGCGACTCTCCTCCTTCAGTCCCTTGCTCAAGAGTTCCTTACTCCCCTTTTTCTCTTTGGGGTCCAGTGCCCTTGCGTTTCCCTGCTATGCCGCTGTCCTCTATTTCACCGCTCTGGCGTCTCGCCTTCTATACTCTTCGACGCCCTTCTGCGCCGAGCACCACCCTTCTTTGTTCCTGGTAGACCCTCCGGCATCTTCAGCTGTTTTGCCGGCTGGTTCGAGTTTGCCGCCTCCTCTCATCTTCTCCCCTTTTCTTCAAGGTTTCCGACCTTCGTGCAGTTCCCTGTCTCTACCCTTCTTCACCTTCCTTCTCTCTCCATCCTCCAGTCCTCCCACAGCTTGAAGACCGTCCAACGACTCTGGACACCTGCCTCTGCCACCTTCAGCCTTCCTCCTTTCGATCCCTTGGCCGTATGACTCTTGTCCTTTCCAGGCTTTCGCCTTCCACCTTCCACGGCTGGTGATCCGCGCACGTGGGTTCCTCGTCCTTCGTCACGTACTCGTGCTTTTGGGTCAACGTTCACCCGCTTGATCAGCTCTCTAAAGCCGCGCCGGTTCCACGGGCAGGGTTTCCTTTCGTACTTGTTCCCTCTAGCTGTTTCCCGAGTGGTTCTCGGTGCCCGCTTGCGCCAGCCCTGCTGACACCGCTCCAAGGTTTCCTTCGGCCCCTAAGCATCCCACTCGAGGTCCTCTGCTTGTTCGTGCTTTGTCCCCCTTCTCTCTCTTTCCTCAACCTTCTTCCTCGCTTGTCACTTGAATTTTGTCCTTACTCCCACCTTCTTATATCAAAAAGCATCCGTCCGTTGTCCTTCTCTCTGACGTGGTCTTCCCTTCATGAGCTTTTGCTCCCAGGCTCTCTGTGCCCTTCTTTCCTTCTCGCCCCTATCCTTGCTTCTTGCCGACCTCGTAATCCTGCGCGCTCGCGTTGGATCACTCGCGTCGCGCCTCCCTTTCTTCGTCTTCCTCGTCCTCCATGCCCTCCATCAGTGAGCTTTCTTCCTTTCTTTCCACTGCTCTCACGCCTCCTCACTCTATGCGCTGTGCCCCCCTTTCCTTTTCTTTAGCGTGCACCCCTTCCATAGGCACCTCCCCTGCCTTACTTCAGCCGCCCTCGCGGTCGTATACCTCTTTAAGCGCGCTTTCCCTTTCCTCTATCCTTCGCGTACCTTCCTTTGGCATTCTATTCTTGCCCATCTTCCTTCTCGCCTCCTCGCGGTTCCACCACACCGTCGCCCTTCTGCTGCTTGGCTCCGAGCGGTAATCAGCATGTCCTTTTCTCGGGCCCACCTCGAGCGTCTCTGCACGGCTGTGCCCTTCCATTCCTTCTTCGTATTCACGTTTTGACACCTTGATGCACTTCAGCTCCTCTTCAGTGCGCTTCCATCCCGGTTCCTCACCTTGTTCCTCCATGTTTCCTCGGTGAAACTTCCTTTGGACTCCTTTTCCTCTGCTCTCGTGTGTCCCCTTTCCTTCACCATACCCTGCAGCTACCCTTTTTCCCCCTGGTTCTCTATCTGCGACGTATGGTCCGCCCATCGTCACCTTTTCTCTCTTCCTTAGTGTCACCTTTTCTCCACTAAACTTCTGCAGCTCCGCTTTCTCCTTCCAGTTCTCCCTCTTCAATGGCTGGTCTGCCCATCCTGCTGTCCCTTTCTCTCTACCATACTTCTGCAGTTCCGCTTTCTCCTTCTGGTTCCTCCTCTTTAATGGCTGGTCCGCCCTTCGCCACCTCCATGGAGTTCTCCGCGCCCAGCCCCATAAGTGCTGGTCCGCCCATCTAGCATGGCAGGTAGGTCGGTGCTCGTTGAGCCAAGGCAGGTCAATCAACGGGACCTGTCACATGAGCGCCCACGAACGAGACGGCGAACGAAACGAGTGCCGAAAAGCGGCGAACGAAGGCGAGCGACCTTCCAACGCCCGTGCGGGCGACTGAGATTCGGGTAGTTGAGGTCCAACCCCCCCCCCGCGTCGAGCGACGAAGGGTGGACGCGGCGGCTCGACGGGTAGTTGGCACCTACCTGCGGGCATCTCCACTCCTATCCTGGAGGAGTTCCCGTCCGAGGTTCCAAACTCGACCTCCCGTCGCCCGCCCTGCGACCCCGGCCTTTTCGCCCCACTCCGTGTGGGGTTTACGGCCGAACCCTTCTCCTTCACGGTGCTCCCTTTTTCCTTACACCTTCCATAGTGCCCTTGTCCTTGCTCGCCCGCTTTACGGGTTCAGCCGGCACCGATCGTGAAATTCCTTTGGCAGCACTTCCATGGGACCTGAAGGCCACTGCGGTGGTGACAGGAAGGTCCATCCTTCGGTCCTGTCCGGGACCCCTTCAACCAGTAGCCCGCCACCCAGGTTCGCCCCTGGTTCCGCGTCCGCTACCCGGTCGTCTCGCGGCTCACCTGTTGTGTCCTCCTCCACTTTGCAGCCGTCGAGGCTCAGGCGAACCAGCTGTACCTGCCACTCCTGCCGCAGGAACAAGTCCGTGTGAGCGCTCTGGCCCGTGGCCATCTTCGACCAAGCCTGGAACTGCTCCCTCTGGATCAAGAAGGTCGGGGCAACCAGCCGCAGGGCCGCAGGCCAATGCTTCAGCGTTATGAGCAAGGCCAGCCACACCTTCGAGCTCCATCCGACCTCTTGCCTTCGCGGCCAACCCAGCCTGGCCCACTCTGATGCTTTGGTGTGCGTCACCAGCACTCGAGCCAGCCTCGTGCCCGTCTGCAGCACAGCTGTCACCTTGAACTCTTCCAGATAGAGCCGAACTCTCACCTTCGCCGGCGTCACACCCAAGTTGACGCGCTTCTGTGGCGAATCGATGCTCGCTCTCAACCATTCCCTGCACCACTTTCGCCTTCAGGAGGCCCCAGTCTTCCTTCAGCGCCCTGGCCTCCTTCCTTTCCCGTTCCTCTAATTCTGACCAGCGCAGCCACACGCATCCCATGAGCAAGTACATCTCCCTGCTACTTGGGTACCGGCGGTGCAGCTCGCGTCCGATCTCGAACAGGTGCTGGCCCATGACTTCCACCACTTCTGGTGCCTGGTCCTGGGCTTCCAGTAATTCTTGGAACTGTACGAACTTCTGTGTGGGCCATGCCAGCTGGACCACTTCTCCTCCCAGCTGTGTCTTGGTCAGACTCGCCCCGTCGACGAGGATGTCCCGTCCACGTTTGCCTCGGCCCCACTGGATGTTCAATCCCAAAGCCGTCAGGGACGTCAACACCAATGCGGCCATCTGGTCCCTTCGAACTTGGTCGCCCTGCATCACCAGGATCACTTTCTTGGGGAGTACTACCACGACCAGCTCCTCCTCCTCGAACATGCCTTGTCGCAGCCTTGCTATGAGGGCCATCCAACGCCCCCACAGTAGCGCCGCTGCCTTCATGCCTGGCATGAGGGTTCGAGCTACATAGAACTGCTGTCCAGGGCCCATGAAGACCGATTGGGACGCTTCACCCTCCATTGGTCCCAAGTGTTCCAGTGGCCTCGCGACCTCTATCCTCAGCAGTTCGACTGATGTGTCATTCTCCTTCTTGTCCTTCGCTGCTCGTGTTATCTTCTTCAAAGCAACCACCACATCTCCGGTCGTGGCCCAATCTACCGTCTCCGTGAAGGATCCTACCTTGACAAATCTTGTCTCACCTTTTCCTCCCGTATCTCTAACCGAGCAGGATGTGATGTGGGCCACCCGCGCCCCGCGAGTTCTTCCTTCTCCACGCGCAGCATCATCGCGTCCACCTCGAGCGGCACCAAGGCTTCCAGGGTCTCGTGCGGCATGTCCTCTGCACTCCTGTGGAAGGACAACACACCTCCATCTGCCCTGTCCCACTCTTCCCACGCGACCAGCTCTGCGACTATGGGATCCCCTTGCTTGAAGACGTTCGACTCGGGGACCGGGAGCCTGAGCCCCAGCGGGGCGCCGGCATGCGCCCATTCCACAATCCCTCTATCCGGGTCTTCCGCCTTCGTCGCCCAAGCCTGGATCACCTCATAGGCCCATGGGGATTCCTTTCGCCACTTCGACGGCTCCTGGACCAAACTGCGCCCCGCTGCGCCCACTACACGCTTCAGCTCTTTCATCCACTTGTTTACCGTTGCACTCGACAGTTGATGAGCCCATGAGCCATACGTGGTGGCGATCAGCAGGGCACCATTCTCTCGTCCTACAAAGCCTGTCCAAGCACCCCTCAACCTCCTTCCGACGGTTCGTAGCCCCTCGCACCGCGCCACTGCTTCCTGCGCGTCCTTCAAACCCCCGATGGGGGGTGCCCGTCCTTCTTGCCGTTCGCTACCTTGGCCTCGCTCCTTTAGTTCCACCTTTTGATGTTTCTCCTTCTTTGAACCTAGTTCCTTTCCAGCTTCCCAACCTCGGTAGTGGTGTCCCCTTTTCTTCATCTTATCACTCCTCACTTCCGCTTCGGCCAACCACAGCATGTGCTCCGTAAACCGCTTAGCCAGCTCGCTAGCGGCTTCCCTTGGCAGTTGTTGAACTGTTCTGAACCTTTGTAGGGTGTTTGCCACTTTGTGTCCCTTCGTGCCACAGTTGCACTCCCGCCCAAAGGAGTTCAACCCGTGCAACACTCCCTTGATTTTCATCCTCTTCCAGAACCTCCTCCCTTTCTCCTCCTCGATCTGGTAGGCACACCAATGGAACATAGTGTGCTGTGCCCCTTCTTCCCTCCATCCTTCTTCAAACCCCTGTGGCGACCAGTCCCACTCTTCCTCGCTCGGATGACAAACGACCGCTGCACCCTTGAATTCCTCGGTTCCGCTTCCTCCCTTCACTGCCTCCGCATACTTGATCGCCATCCTCCACATCTTATCTTCCTGTTCGCACCGATCCTTCTCTTCCGCCGTCAGCGATGGTGCTCCCTTCGGATGTTCCTGCGTCCTCCATTCATGTATTGCTCCGTCTTCTGCGAACTTCACTTGGTACGTTTGCGACCGTGGTGCGCAATAGACACCATCCACATGCCCTTCCTTCGCTAACCTTAGCCAGCCATCCCAGACGGCTACGTCACCCGTTCTTGCGGGTATTGCCACATTCATGAGGCACAGCCCTTTCTTCTCCCCTTCCCTTCGCATTTCTTCCATCAGTCTGTCGTCGCCCTCCTCGGCTAAGAAATGCACGAACACAAACTTCCTCTCCATCAGATATTCCTTCAGGGTGATCTTCTGGGCCTGGTCCCCCTGCATGTCCTCGTCCTCTCCCTTTTCCTTCCGCTCCAAACTGCTTTCATCCTTTTCTCCCGATGAATCCGGTCGCTCTCGACCCGATTGTGCTCCTTCTCTTACCGGGGTGCCCCGGCTTGATTCTTCCAGGCCTCCGCATCGTTTGGCCTTGCCGTTACCCGAGCACCAAATCAGCTCTAGTACCTCCTGCAATTCCCCCTGATTGCACTTCCGCCCTGCTTCGTAATGTTGGTTCCAAAATGCGATCAATACCAGACCACCGATTTGGACCCCAACCAACGTCAGCATCCTTCTGATTCTCGGGCTCTTTCGTCTCCGCCTCTGCATAAAACCTTTCCACATCCGGCTCTTGCCTGACCTCCATCCCTTTCTCCTCCTTTCGGGTGTATCGTTAGCCGGGTTCACCTCGACCTCTTCCTCCGCTTTGACCTCCTCTCTCTCATCGACCGCTACCCTCAGTACCTTCATCACTAGGTCGAACTTGGTGCCTCTGTAGAAAGCCTGCTGAATCTCCACCGCCTTTCTTTCCAAACCCAACCCTTCCTGGGTTGATACAGCTACTTGATCACACCAGTCATCTTCCATTGGGATCCTCTCTTCGATCTTGCCGCCCGCGGTTCTTGGCCTACCACGGTCACTCCCGGCAGTATACCCATTCCAATCGAGGATCACCTCCTTCACGCGGACTCCATCGAGTGTGAGATTGGCATTCCCAACTTCTCCGGACCGCTGGCTCCCCTCCAACTCCACCTTCTCCTTCGTGCCCTCGCCAATGTCATAGGCCCCCCCCCGCTTGGCCCCAACGCGGCCGCGAGGAACCACCAGCAGCAGCCCACGACCATGGCAAAATCAAAGAAGAAGGGCAACAAGGAGGGGGGCTCACTTGAGCCAAAATGGCAGAGCACTCCGTGCATCCACCATCCCCCCCCTGTTGCCACAGTTTCTTTTCATGCAGAAAATTCATTGCACTCATTTTCTTTTATGAGGCCATCGCCCTTCTAGTTTGGAGGCCATCGCCCTTCTAGTTTGGAGGCCATCGCCC